TGGAGAGGTCACTGGCAATAAAGTGACCATAGTGATCAGAGCAGGGGCTGCACTACAGCAATCAGGAACCTGCTAGAACCAATTAAGACAGGCAAGCTAATTAGGAAACCTGGAGCCAATTAAGAACATACTAGAATCAGGCAGACTAATCAGGACACCTGGTTTAAAAAGGACCTCCCATGAGTTAGTGGAGGGTATGCAAGGAGCAGGGAGTGAGAAGGCGGGCTGCTGGAGGACTGAGGAGTACAAGCGTGATCAGGCTTCAGGAGGCAGATCCTGTGGTGAGTATAAAGAAGGTGCTGAGGGGAGGTCATGGGGAAATAGCCCAGGGAGTTGTAGCTGTCATGCAGTGTTACAGGAGATGTAGACAGCTGCTATCCACAGGGCCCTGGGCTGAAACCTGGTGTAGAGGGTGGGCCCGGGTTCCCCGCATTCCCCCCCACAACTCCTGATTGGACACAGAAGGAGTTGACCTGGTCTGTGAGCAACACCAGAAGGGAAAGTCTAATTTGGAAAAAGATCTGGCCTGTCCCCAACCCACTAGATGGGACAATGGAGACTGTGGAGATTGTTCTCCATTTCCCCATGCTGGCCAGTGATGAGGTTAGCTGAGTGTACGGCAGGTTTGAGCCTCTAGCAGAAGCGGCCAAACAGGGCTGCCGTGAACCTCTGAGGTAAGCAAATCCGCCAAAAAGTGCAGGACCTACCAAGACAGAGGAGGAACTTTTCACATATGAAACATGTTAGCTTTGCTATATTTATAGCAACCTACAATATCTGTTTCATTCTCTTTTCTGGTTGTTATTACAGTTTTAGTACTTTGTATTAAATCATTAATGTAAAAAATCAGATTTTGTTCAATTTCAACATAAAAAAATCTTTCTAGCTTTATTCAACAAGTTTATGTAATGTAGATTAAGGACTTCAGATATAATACAGTGTACAGAGGAAATTTCCTTAGTAGAAAATATACTTAGTTTTGCAAGTTTGCTTTGGCTATTACTATATCATAAGTGATAGGGTCACAACAATGTTACAGCAGTGTTGAATAAAAATTAAAGTGATCTTTTTCCTTTTTTCCCTTCTTCTGAAGATAAAATTAATATGTTTATGCAGGTTTATAAGTGAAATAAGATTGCTTTTTTCGATATTAATAAAATGGTCATGCATTTTATTTGTGGTCCAGCTGCTACAGTACAATTGCAGGTTTTGATCCTCATATGCTTTATTAACTCTGCCTTGCAAGATGGCATCTCCCCAATAGACAGGCAGTCTCCTAAGAAATGAAAAGATGCTGTAAAGAGAAAACTGTTGTAACAGCAGTTACAATCAGATATCTTATTTGATATCCAAAATCATGACTGAGCCCCCCCCCCCATCCAGTCATGAAAGTGGCTTAAAAATCATGAGATTTAAGAGAGAAATTATTTTTGATTCTTTTAATTTGCCCTCCAGGTTTTCAGCTGCTAGAGGGCACATTTTTAATTTTTTTCTCTTCAGTCAAACTTACTTAAAATAACCCCCATTACTGAAATGCTGAGATTCTCACATGATCATACCTAAATAATTGTATCATGACCGTCAAACATCAAATATTGCAATAATCATGATAAAATTATGAGAGTTGGCAACACTGTAACAGTAACAAAGTTGCATACGCCACTGTGTGCAGCAGCAGTTAAAGCTTCCACAGTATGTTTCACCAAAACAAAGACCTTAAAAAAATTGCAAATTATTTTAAGTAAATAAATTGATAATCATGAATACTCTTACTTAGGTACTTACATGGCCCCATTCTTATAGCACCTCTTCGTCTTTAACATATCTATTTTCCCAACACCGCTGCAAAGTAGGCAGGTACTATTGCCCTGCTGTTATTGATAGAGAACCAAAGCACAGAGGGGCACAGTGATTTGCCCAAGGTCCTACAGGAAGTCTGTGGTGGAGTCAGGGCCAGCTCTAGGCCCCAGCAAACCAAGCAAGCGCTTGGGGTGGCACTTTTCAAGGGGCGGCACTCTGGCCCCCCCTCCCCCTTTTTTTTTTTTTTTGTGCTTGGGGTGGCAAAAAACCTAGAGCCGGCCCTGGGTGGAGTAGGGATTGACTCCGGGTCTCCTGAGTTGCAAGCTAGTGCCCAAACCATGGACCATACTTCATCTATGTCAGAGCCTTCATTTAAAGAAATATGTCTGAAATCAGGGAGACAAAACATGCCTTGAATTTCAAGTATGAAATAGTTGCCACTAACTTCTTGCGCACAAGATATCAAGATCAAGACTCATTCATAGACATTATTCTGCAAATAATTTTTAATAAGTCTATTTGAAAATATTGTAGGCTGCAAGTGGACGCTTTACAAACAGGAAGGAAAAAGCGTTGAGTAAACTATTCATTCTGAATTATTTGCCTGGGTCAGAGGTGAGCAAACTACAGCCCTCAGGCCCCATCGGCCCGTGGGACCCTCCTGCCCGGCCCTGAGCTCCTGGCCCGGGAGGCTCGCCCCCAGCCCCTCCCCTGCTCTTCCCCCTCCCTCTCAGCCTCAGCTCACTGTGCCGCTAGTGCAATGCTTTGGGCAGCGGGGCTGCGAGCTCCTCCGGCCTGACCCGGTGCTCTGTGCTGCACAGTGGCGTGGCTGCAGCACCGCCAGACACCGGTGTTCCAGGCAGCGCGGTCACGGGGCAGGGAGCAGGTTGGATAGAGGGCAGGGGAGTTTGGGGTGGTGGTCGGGGGCGGGAGTGTGGATAGGGGTCGGGGCAGTCAGAGGGCAGGGAACGTGAGTTGAAAGGGAGCAGGGGCCAGTCAGGAAGGAGGGTTGGATGGGGCGGCCGGGGGCAGTCAGGGGCAGTGGTTCTGGGGGCAGTCAGGGGACAGGGAGAAGGGGTGGTTGGATGGGGCAGGGGTCCTGGGGGGGCAGTCAGGAATGAGATGGGGGTTTGGGGGGCAGTCAGGGAGCACGGGGGGTGGATGGGACAGGGGTCCTGGGGGGGCTGTCAGGGAACGGGGGGGGGGGGGGGGTTGGATGGGGCAGGAGTCCCGCGGGGCGTGTGCGAGCATGTCAGGAGGCGAGAAGTGAGGGGGTGGAAGGTGGATGGGGATGGGAGTGGGCTGGATCATGCCTTGCTGTTTGGGGAGGCACAGCCTCCCCCTAACTGGCCCTCCATATGATTTCCGAAACCCGATGCAGCCCTCAGGCCAAAAAGTTTGCCCATTCCTGGTCTAGGTCCACTATATATTTTGATCGAAGGAAATATTTATTGAGGAATAAGGATCCCAGGATACTTCAAAGATGTGAAAAAACTCTTCTGGTATTAGCTGCTGCTTTTTTGAAAGAAATAAGTGCCAACCTTCAAATCGTCACTGTTTGGGTCAAATCATAGAAAGCAACTGATAACGAAGAAGTTTATTCCTATTTGGTATCTATCCATCACTGATGTTTTAGGCGTCTCACATAAAACACAGCGTGACCTCTTTTATCTCTCTTGCATCCGTCTTTTGTGTTGCAGTTGTCTTTTCTAACCTGCTCTCTGATTTATTATGTGCTACATTTCTTAGTTGCCTTGTGGCTAATGATCTGACATGTATAGATTATTTACTCTGAAGTCTGCATATATTTTAATGTGTTTAATGCACATGCAAGTCACTCATGTATGGTAGTAAGAAGGGTTTAAAGTCAGTGGGCCAAATTCTGTGACCAGTTACAAATCTAATTCATAGAGTTAACACTGATAAAGAGGTAGAAAAAAATCACAAATGGGTAGGAAAGGTGCTTGTTTTTTTTAATGGGACTATAAAAATCAGCATTAAGCATTTAAATGGACCTGCAATATTCCAACTTAAATGTTGTCTATATCTTGGAACTCTAAGGGTGTCTATTTCTTCACTCAATAATAAAAATGTTCCTAATTACATAGCTCTTTTCAGTGGAGGGAGAAAAACCACTTAGGAATTAAAACGTGTAAGGCATAACAGAGTAAAAAGGGATACTGTGAATGCTATCCTTCTCTCCTAGCAGGGTTATTTATTGCATCCTCTATGGAATTTGCACCACACTAGAATTTAGATGAGTTCATATACAGTATACAATGCACAGTGACTTGTAGTTAAGCAGATATGAAGGACATGACATTCTGAACACTTGTGGTGCCAATTTTTTAATAACTAAAGGATATGCATGTCCATGTGAACACCCAGTGCTTTAAGACTTTAAACTTTCTGTTTGTAAATATCTTCAAAATGTACCTTTTTGATAATGAAGTTAATTTGTAGAAATTTAATTACAAACACTTGCTACTTTAAACATGATTAAATAAATTGTGGAATGAGCCTTATTGCAGGTGTTTGTTGTTGGTTTTTTTCCAGTTTTTTCCCCAGACCAAATATAAGAAGTCTAAACCACAGTGCACAAGCTTGTGCACCGAGCATCTTGTTTAAATCAATTTTCCTTCCACTGGTTCAGCTATTAATACATCAGAGGTTTGTGCATAATTTAGTGGCTTCTTATGGTATATTTTATGCTTGTTTATAGTAGCTTAAAACCAGCTTTGATTTAGAAATTAGGGGCTCAATTCAACTCATCTTGTAATAAATGGAAAAATTCCAGAGGGAACTGGATTGAGCCACAAGTTGCAGAAGAGATTTATCTGTGTTAGTGTCTAACTGTTTTTAGTAATCGGTGTGATGAAAGAAAATTGTACTTCAGAGAATTTAGAATTTTTTGGCCTTTGTTAGTATTATGCTATGTATTTTAACAGTTTTTTTCATTGTATCTGTTTGACATAGTTTTACACAGGTTTAAATTAATAAAGCTACTAATTAAAAGGAGTATTTGGGTGAAGTTTTGTGTAGTGTTCTCATGGGATATTATTTCCATATCCCAAACATAAGAAAATTAGACAAACTAATTAAAAATGTATAATTCTTTTACTCAAGCTATCTCATTCCCTCTGCACTAACTAAAGCAGCGTACAGTTTCCTCACTTGTATTGTTGTCTTGTTTCATGCAGGCATTCCTTCAGAGAATGATCCAGTTTGCTGCCTCCAAAGTGGATAAAAATATCACAGAGGAAACAGTGAAGGTTAGTTTTTAATTGCACACATTTTTCTTTTCTGTGTTCTCTTTTTATATTTATTTGTGCTGTTCTTTTACAGATGCTGTTTTCAAATATTGAAGATATTCTTGCAGTTCACAAGGATTTCCTGACCCTAGTGGAGGGGTGTTTGCATCCTGAACCTAATGCACACCATGAAGTGGGAATCTGCTTTCTTCACTTTGTATGCTATTCTTTAATACAACTTCATAGTTAACTTTTCTCATTCCTGATTGTCTTCATTAATTAATGCGTGGTGGTGGTGGTGTGTGTGTGTGTGTGTGTGTGTATTCAGTCATGAGGACAAAATGACTTAATTGCGTAATTTAGGTTCCTTTAAGGTCATTTGGAGTTTACACTTATTCCCCCCCCTCCCCCCCCCCAAAAAAAAGAAGACAGAGAGAACCTTACCATGTCATCTCACCCATTCTTTTCACTGTAGAATAAACAAGCTTTGTTGTTTTCAGCACATTAGCTTTCAGCATCCTCTGTAGCTTTGAACTGTTAGGAATTTTCAGACTACTTGTTCTGAATTGATTTTATTTTTCATTCAAACACAGAGGATGTTTATTTAAAATAGTAAAATTTTACCCAGTGATGACATAACTAACCCTTTTTTCTAACCAGGCAAGTGCACAAGCTGATAGATACCAGGATTTCCACCTGAAATTTTCTTAAGGACCTTGAAATTAATTGGACATAAGAACATGCTTATCTTTAAGCACATTTTAGTGCTTTGCTGAATAAAGGCCTTAATGAACACTTCTGAAAATTTGGCTGTAGGCCTTTTATGTTCACCAGCAAAACTAAGAAGGCTGGACAATGAAATGCCATGTTAAGATGTGAAATACCTAAAACTCAGTCAAGAAGCAGAATTTAAAAAAAAAAAAAAAAGAGTTTGCAAGAAACAATGCATTTAAAAGCATTTTTAATATTAAAATTCTCAGGTACATATTAATATATTTGCTCACTATTTATTATTATTATTTTATTTTATCTGCCTTGAAATAGAAAATGCGGAGCAGTGCCTCAGTAAATCATAGCAGATATGTTTCTGGATCTTCTGCAGCAACTGTACTCTAGAAACATTGTGTTCCTGTCTGAGTGCAAGAGCATCAGTGTTATAGAGCTGTGCTGAATCATTCAGGACTGAGCCTAACTCTGTGCACACTGTCACAGACCTGGAAAAAAAATTGGACTTAACTGGTATCTCTGCTTGGTTCAACCTTCATTTCCTAAAGTCTACGTTTGCACATTGTGGGACAAAAGATTAAAGGTCGGTAGAATGGAAGGGCTCACAGAAATGCTCTCAACACACCTTTTATTTTTTCAAAACTGGATTGTATCTGCAAATGCTTACATGTGCAAGATAGGTAATGTCTTCAAATGGGTAGGTATGCGTGCACTTTGTTGTCCTGTTTGATTTATTATAATCCAGCCACTGGATCTCTCCACAGATTCTCCAGTGATGTTCACGGACTATTCGTCTTTACAATTCTAATTAACAGTAGAATTTAAAAGTTCTAGAAGTGTTGGATTTCAAACAATAATTAGATATAAAAATAGGAAAGGTGTTGACTTTCCAAAATGCAGATTACATTAGATTTCTATCCTCTAAAAGTGTTCTTATATTAGTCATTTGGCCTTAATAAAAACCTAAATATACAAAGTATTTCTTTGTCTCTACAGAAGGACAGATTTTGTATCTATGATGAATACTGTAGTAACCATGAGAAGGCACAGAAACTGCTGCTTGAACTTAACAAAATAAGAACAGTACGGACTTTTCTTTTGGTAAGTAAACTTTGACTTGGTGTTCTACTTTAATATCTTTTCATTGAATCAGTGAGTTGACAGCAGTGCCTTATTAGGTCATGTGAGCACTGATTTGAGACATCCTACCATGGTCACTGTAGATGGTTATAGTTCAAATGCATTTTAGGTGTGATGTTTTCAGAGGTATGGGCTGCCTACATCACACACTCAGTGCCACCTCCTGACCAGTTTACAGACTAGCACTGGACAATGTACCCTATACAGTAACTTCTCACTTAATGGCCTCATGGTTAACATTGTTTTGTTATGTCTCTGATCTATTAGAGAACATGCTTGTTTAAAGTTGTGCAAGGCTATCAATTGTCGGGCAGTTCAGGTGTCCCTCCTTATACTGTCCTATGCTGCTCCTTCCCTCTGCCTTGGAGCTGCTCCTGGGAACCTCCTGCTTGTTGTGCATGGGGTGGGAGAGTTAGAGGGGTGCTGATGTCTGGGTGTTCCTGCCCCCCCCCCGGGCTCCTGTACCCCAGCTCCAGAGAGCGGGGCAGCGGGATGGGACACACAACAGGGCTCAGAACAGAGGGAGCTTACTGGCAGCAGCTGCTGTCTGAACTTGCTGATCTACTTAAAAAGGCTTAGAGTGGGGTCAGCGTACTTAAAGAGGCAGTGTGCCCCCCCTCTCTCTTTTTACACACACATTCCTCCCCCGCCCCAGGCACTTTGGAAAGTGGAGGGAGTGGTGCACTCCAGTGGGATAGCGTGGGTTCATCATCATGTTCAGTTTCCACAGGGAATGTTTGCAGCCATTGCCATGCGTCTATTGTGTCTCCTCCCTCCATTCATGCTGCCTTGTAGAGTGTGAGGCTATATTAACAGTGTTTTAACCCTTGAGGGCTCAGCTGAGTGCTAGTTCATCATTTAGCAGCAAGGCATTCCCTGGGAAATAGTCCACCCTTTGACTCCTCCACGTCAACCACGCTTCACAATCATCATTGCTGTGTACAGTATTAAATTGTTTGTTTTAAACTTATTCTGTGCATATATTTGTGTGTATATATACACACACACACACAGTCTTTTGTCTGGTGAAAAAAAAATTCCCTGGAGCCTAACACCCCCTATTTACGTTAATTATTAGGGGAAATTGGATTCACTTAACATTGTTTCACTTAAAGTCACATTTTTCAGGAACATAACTACAACGTTAAGTGAGGAGTTACTGTACTCCCTGTTATGAAGGCATTGCATAATAATGCCAGCCATGTATGGCTGAAGGACTGGAGAGAAAATGGGATAAATGGTGTGGGGATAGGTATGGAAGGAAATCAGAGAACTGACCTGGAAGGAAATTTAAAGACTGACCTGTGGTTAGAGCCAGGTTTTGTAAAGAAAAATCCATACTCTAATACTCTGGAAGCTGCTGTGCCAAAGGAAAAAAATGTTTTGCTACAGATAATATATTAGCAGCAACAACATACTGAATTGGCTCAAACTGAGATAAAGGAAACAGCTACACAATAAAAGTCTGTAATTTTTACAACACAATTAAGCAGATGTTTTAAAATGTTAAGTATGAGAGTCCTCATGAATCTGCCATAACATGATCAGTTTCCTTGGAAACATGGGGGGAAGAAAAACGAGGAGTACTTGTGGCACCTTAGAGACTAACAAATTTATTTGGGCATTAGCTGTCATGGGCTAAAACCCACTTCATCAGATGCATGCAATGGAAAATACAGTAGGAAGATAGATTATATATATTTCTCCCTGTCAGAGGGAGAAATCACTGAGCAACTTAGAGTTCTGTGCCACCTCCCTTGTCACTGAGCATGTCTTTACACTCCAGTGATTTTTTTGGCAGCTGGAACACCCTCTCACTGTGGACATCCAGCTGCCCCAATTTCAATCAAGGGCTGAAATGTCATTCCCCAACCTGCTCCCAAATTGAGGGGCTGCAAGCAAGGCATAAAGCCACTTTAGTTCTCCCCCACACCACATGCACAACTGGATCCTGCACAGAGAGTAACATGAATTGTGGACACTGTATATGGTGGTGAGGAGCAAAATATGCCTAAGAGTAAATCACGAAGAGCTTATTTTGGGAGACAGGAGGAGGCTATTTTAGAGATAAGTCCAAGCTGAAATCTTGGATCTCTGATCCCCACAAACAGATCTGGATTTGGATCCAAATGAAACTGTTCCTTAAATGGTACTGAATCCAAATGCTATATCTGAACATGGTGCAATTTGAGAAGATTGCAGCACCTTTGCAAAAAATGTAATAATAATCACTGTCCCTCAGTAGTCCAAGAACCCCCTCTACTCAATATGCCTTAGAACTTCCCAGGTGTCTGTCAAAAAAGATGTGCTTTATGCCATGCCCTGAAGGCCATGTGATTTGGGCTATATCAGACTAGGGAGACGAAATTATTGTATTCTTTTTTTTTTCTTTTGGTTCAGCTACTGGACTGAAATAACTTATTCACATAATTCTAGTCAAAACCAATACCTCTGCCTGGAAGCCATTTGGAAGCCAATAGACAGTTAAAGTAGATCATGGTGCACCAGTGTAATATACTCAGAGAGAGATACTTCACCTGGCAAATGGGTTATCACATTCTGCACTTGATTCAACTTCCAAATGGATTTCAGTTTTACCTTTGTGTAGAGTGCATTGCAGCAGGCCAGTCTAACTACAGTGAAGGAATAGGGAACTGGGCTTTATTTAGTCTGCAGAAGAGAAGAGTGAGGGGGGATTTGATAGCAGCCTTCAACTACCTGAAGGGAGGTTCCAAAGATGATGGAGCTAGGCTGTTCTCAGTGATGGCAGACAACAGAACAAAGAGCAGTGGTCTCAAGTTGCAGTGGGGGAGGTCTAAGTTGGATATTAGGAAAAATTGTCCCACTAGGAGGGTGGTGAAGCACCTGAATGGATTACCTAGGGAGGTGGTAAAATCACCATACTCTAGAGGCTTTTAAGGTCAGGCTTGACAAAGCCCTGGCTGGGATGATTTAGTTGGGTGTTGGTCCTGCTTTGAGCAGGGGGTTGGACTAGATGAACTCCTGAGGTCTCTTCCAACCCTAATATTCTATGATTCTATGAATACATCATGAAAGCAGGTCAACATCCAAAAGATGTAGTTGCAGCCTCCTGGACAGATGCAGATAGATAGAGAACAAAAGTCTTTGTTATTACTGTTGTTTGAGCATCTACAAATAATTGGAAGGCTAACCAGGCTCCCTACCTGGCCCCACAGAGTAGCTAAAGATGAGGATACACACTTTTTTTTTTTTTTTTTTTTAACTTAAAATCAGAGTCTGATCATGTAGGCTGCACTCTGAATTTATTTTTGTTTCTTCTTTGAATTGTAGGGAGACCTTTCCAATATGCCTTCTGTGTTTGATGGGTAAAGAGAGACCCTACTTACCTGCTTTTTAAAAGTGTGAGCAGTAGTAGGACAGTTATCAGTCTATATTACACTACCTTTGATTGTATTGGTATGATGATCTCAATACATAGAGCTTGATTTCATGTAGCTTTAAAGTATATCATATTACTATTTCATCTATTGTTCCTATTCCTACTACTGCATATATACACTCATTACTGTTAGTATTTGGTCCACTTTTTTTTTTTTTTTTATAATTCCAGCAATTTAAATATTTGCCCTAAAGCCACTTGCATATTTTGGTTCTCTGAATGTCTTTAATCCTATCTCTACCTCTCACTGAACTCTGTTTGTGAATGCTTCTGCCAAATGTTCCATATTTTTCTCTGCTTCCAATACTGTGGTCCTGGTTGTTACCGACCTATAGCTCATGGCTGGAAAAATTTATTTAGTTTGCATAATATCAGCAATCCAATAATTATCTTTTAGTTTATATATATATATATATATATATATATATATAAAAAATCAGAAGAGTGTTTCTTTTCATAGGTTTCAGAGTGGTAACCGTGTTAGTCTGTATCAGCAAAAAAATGGTTAAATGAGCTTTAGTACTACTTTGACACACACAAAAACAATTACCCAACTGCAGTTGAGTGTTGTTTTTCAAAGGATGTGTTAAAGAAACAAAGTAAAATGTTAGATGTATGGTTTAGTGTCTTTAATTATTATAGTAAAGAGTAGACGAGTAGATTATGTGTCTGTTCACTATAGTTTTGCAAGTTTACCTTAATATTGTCTTTGTATATGTTAATTTACAATTCTAGGCAAGTGTGTGTTTGTGTCAATGCTTTTGGGAGAGCTTCTTTTTGATGGCAATTGCCTATATTTTAGAGCAGTGATTTCTCACAGGAAACTATAGGAAATAGTTTAATGTAATGTTTCTCTCTCTTGAACTCTTCTAGAACTCATAGTTTGGGAAAATGTCATTTCCTCAGGATTTTGTAATCAAATTTGTTTGCACCCTAGAACTGTATGTTGCTTGGAGGACGTAAGAACACAGATGTTCCATTGGAAGGATATCTAGTAACACCAATACAGAGAATATGCAAGTATCCCCTCCTTTTGAAGGTACTTATATGTTTGTTACCTAGGCCTTTATATTCTGCACATAAAACTTGTTGCTATGCATATTTAAGCATGACAGTAACAAGAACCTCTCCCCAAGATGAATGATCCCCCAGATAGATATTGGATTCACACTTGCACTCATTAAAGCCAATGGCACATCTTCCAGGGACTTCAGTGCAAAAAAGATTAACAGGCTTTGTTGGCTGAAAAGGACTGGCACCTCTCTAGTTTCAGCACCCCCTTTGTAGGGTGATAGCCACCTTTTTCATTGTTGAGAGGAAGCCATTAATTTAAACTTCAGTGAATTTAATGAGTTTGATTTCAAGTTTAAGTACATGCTTAAATGCTATGATAGCTAGGGATACAATTATTCATTTGCTAACGGTAAGCATGCAATTAAGTGGCTTCCTGAATCAGTGCCATTATTAGTAAATTGTAAACTAAAACAAATGTCAAAAATGCTTTTAAATAGGTACTGTAAAAGGCAGACAGAAAGTACTTTCAGATAACAATAAAATGACACCTGTGTGTGTGTGTGTGTGTGTGTAATGAATGCATTACAAATTTGTGTTGGATATTGTATAGTTTTTGTTAAAAAGGAGGAAAAAACTTGCATTTTTGAAGAGGAAGCTGCATTTGTTAATTGCATTTTGACTATTGAATAAGTATTTTTTTATAATAAAATTTTATCTTCTAAAACGCTGTCAGCCCTGAAAGAGGCACATCTCACTGGACTGACAGACTGAAGGGACACACCTTAACATTTAGTCTTTTTTTTTTTTTATTATTTTTTAAAGTGAGGTAAATAATATTATTACTATACTGAGCCCCGAGTCACCCAGCCTATTTCTTCGGTTTTACAATCACATTGTCCTGTTTTGAAATTGTTTTTATATTCTTTCCTGCTATGTGAGAAAAACACACAAAGAACAAAAACTAACAGATTCTACAAGAGATACATTGAGACTGATACACAAAGTTATTGTTAAATACACCAAGTGAACAAACTGCGAAAAATTAGAAAAAAACATGACCCCCTTTCAGTTCACAGTAACCATAGATACTAATTGTGACAATAATAAATAAGCACTTTAAGACATCTGTATGATTTTTGTCATTAAAAGCTGACTGTCCTATAAAAGAGTATAAAAAGAAGTTAAAGGTCAACATCAAGACCAACCTTTCAAGGGGGAGGGGAGGAGAGGAGACAGCTGAAATGAAAACTTTGTTTTTTGAAATATCACATATTCTTACTAGTTGCTAGTTTGTCTCTTAGAGCTTTATTGCCTTAGCAGGACACAATGTTGGAGGATGTGATAGGGTTCCACCTAATAAAAGAGGAGTTTGAGATCTACTGTTTAGTTTTAGCATCCCAGTCAATATGAGCTTCCTGGTAATGCACATTTGAGGATCAAAGACTGATGTAACTCTTTGTACTATATGTACTCTTTATGTATAAACAGGAGTTATTGAAGCGGACGCCAAAGAAACACAGTGACTACACAATATTACTGGAAGCTCTGCAAGCCATGAAAGCGGTCTGTTCCAATATAAATGAGGCTAAGAGACAAATGGAAAAATTAGAGGTTTTGGAAGAATGGCAGTCTCACATTGAAGGATGGGAGGTAGTGTCACCATATTTCTCATTGTGTAAGACATGGGTGCAGTGATGCAACTTTGCAAGTGGGCAATTATCAGCATATGCAGTACATTACTTTTATGACCCTGACTCGCAGGGAACTTCTCATTTCACGAGTAAAATCACAATTCTTTCTTAGGATCTACTCTGAGTAATATCAATATTCTTGTCTAAGGATCATCAATGATGCAGACACTCTCAGTGCACTAACCATCTTTCAGAAAAGACAAATTATCTAGCTCTGAATTTAGGATATTAACCATTTTAATCAAATAAGAATATATAAAAATCAGTCTGTGCCTTAGCTCTATGGATTACTAACTGTTGTTCTCAGGCTTTGCTCTTTTTGGAACTTGAAAGTCATGCCTAGTCAACTGCGGGGGAAATGTATAGAACATAAACTTTAGAAAAGTTAACAGATAAGGGATTATCTGAAGATTGCCAACAAATACATGTTCAGCAGTGTGAATACAACAGCCTTTATATTTACAGTTGAGTCTCTGAGCTGCTGAGAGGAAGGTGAAAAAACCCACCCTATCCTGGCCAGTCTGACAATGAGGGAAAAATTCCTTCCCAGTCCCATAAAGGTGACTAGCACAATGTCCACATCAGATCAAAAACACATAGTCTTACTCTAATCCCAGTGTTAGGAGAATGGGAGCTGTTAATCCAGGCATGCAGTGGTGCCTTGTTGCAGGGAAAGGGCCTGTATGCCCTCCCCTCAGGCACGCAGGAGCTAGTTGGCTTCTGCTGAGCACCTCCAGCCAGCCAAACTGATCAGCTGATGCTGCCTCTCCCCCAAAATCCAGGAGGAAGCAGGCTGTTATGAGCAGGGCAGGGGAGGAGAAGGGAGAATTGCATTAAGGGGCAAAACCATTTTTCTCCTGACAGTCCAGTCAAAGACTCCATGCCCTTGAGGCAGTGGGTGTACCTAATGTTAATTAAGTGTAGCAGAAGATTTGACTCTTTCTAAAAAAGAGCATAGTTATTTTTGTTTAGACGGAAGCATCCACGTTTGTGCAGGGAGATTTGAATATATCATTTAAAGATTGTTCCTGTGGCAGCATTCCAAATAAGTTTTTTTTTTTTTCTCTTGTTTTCAAAATTGGATAGGTAGGATCTATATTTCTACTTGTCTACCATTACGCCTTGAGTCCTGGATTTTAGAGAGTAGTGATTTTCAAACTTCTCAATCCCAGGAACCACTTACCACATTCTGCAAATATTCACAGTACATAGAAAGAAGGAATTTCTGTAAGCGCAAAGTATTATATGAATTGGTCATGTGTCTTCAACCTGATCTTACTGCATTCATTTTAGTCCCTTATCTCAAAAATAACAAATCATTAGCAGAAAGAATCCAGGGAAGGCAAAACTGATTAGAGATAGGGTATAGGGCTCATGCAAGGACATATTGTTTGTAGTATTTTGAAAATGAGAAAGTAAAGTGGATAAGGTAAAGAATTACCCACTCCCCCCAAAAGAGAAATGCAGAAAATTCAAAAAGTCTGTACTGAATTCCTAAAGATGTATACAATAATATGCATACCATGGTTACAATTACACAAATATCCCAGATGATAGTGGGGACCAATTCATGTAAAAATGAATTTTTATACTTTCTTTACATGTTTAGGGTTATGCTTTGCACTACAAAACAGCTGTTTGTTTTCCCTAATCATTTAGGGGCTTTTCCATATTTAAATTTAGGAATGCGTTCTGTATTGTGTGTGTTGTCTATTTTGTCTTGTTTACCAGGTATAACAATATATGAGGCCATTGTTAGGTCTATCATACTGTTTTAAAAGGTAAATCTTTCATCTTTTCGGTGCTAGAGAATAAATTAGGGACAAATCCTGTTTACTTTAATAATGAAAGCACTCCACTTAATTTAATGGGATGGCTAAATTTTTATTAGTCATAGTAATTTTATTGCTCGTTTTAACTGCCCTGTATGTTAGGCACTGTCCAAATTGAATAAGACAATACCCCTGCTTTGAAGATTTTACAAATGTATGCCCTAATATTACAATTCATTGCATATGGGTAGACTGCTGTACTTGTGTGGTGCTCCACTGAAATTAATGGGGCTCTCTGTAGGCACAGCAGTGAATTACATGACATGGAGCTAATTTTTGGCAATTACACAACATATAGATTTTGATGAGTCATGAGACAGTAAGGACAGGTAGTGGAAGAAGGACAGGGTGAATGTCTGTACAATGACTTGGTTAGTCAGTGAAGCTAGTGCCCAGCCTGATGGAGAAAAAATAAATAAGAAAAGATAAATGGATAGAATGAATAAATATCAAACTAATCAGTCATTTTGTGTGAGTAAGTCTAGCAGATTTGGTCCTATTCCTTCTAGCAGTCCTTTGGCTAAGAAAAAAATAATCTTGAGGAAGCTTTAGGAATCCCTTTAATTTCAAATCATCAGACAAAATTAAAAAAGTTTTCAAACAAAGATTTTTTTAAATTTTTTTTTAAAGTAGATTTCCATGTGAAAGATTTTATTTTTGGTGACAATTGCACACATAGTAACAGTTGGACACACAGTAATTAATTAAATACAAGATTCATCTGAGTCCTGCTTGCTTTTTAAATAGTTGTTTTCCTTTAAAATTTATCATTAAAGAAAAGCCAGTGGACCAAGTCCTGTGCTGTTACACAGTTGCAGTTTCCTCCCCACTCTGAACCCTAGGGTACACATGTGGGGACCCGCATGAAAGCCCCTAAGCTTATTTCTACCATCTTAGGTTAAAAATTTCCCCAAGGCACAAATCCTTTGTCCTTGGATGGTACGCTGCCACCAGCAAGTGATTTAGATAAAGAATCAGGGAAAGGACCACTTGGAATTCCTATTCCCCCCAAGCCCTACACCCCATTCCTGGGAATGCTTGAGAATAATATACCAACCAAATAGGTAAACCAGATTCTTAAAAACCGGAACTTTATTATAAAGGGGGAAAAAAAAGAAAAGTAAAAGAAGCACCTCTATAAAATCAGGATGGAAGGTAACTTTACAGGGTAATCCGATTCAAAACACACAAGATTCCCCTTTAGGCAAAACTTTAAAGTTACAAAAAACAGAGATAAACCTCCCTCTTAGCACAGGGAAAATTCACAAGTTGAAAACAAAAGGTAATCTAGTACGCCCTGCCTTATTTACTTACTCTTTTTGCAATATTGAGGCTTACTTTAGGATGGTTTATAGGAGAAGGAGTTTTCTGACCTGGTGCTTCTCTGCTTCCCAAGAGAACACAACAACAACGAGCACAAACAAAGCCTCCCCCACCCCAGATTTGAAAGTATCTTCTTTCCCCATTGGTCCTTTTGGTCAGGTGCCACACAGGTTATTTGAGCTTCTTAGCCCCTTACAGGTAAGGAGGAATTCTAGGCTACCCTTAGCTGTATGGTCATGACAACTGCATTGTCTTTAATGGAGTTATGCTACATTTATGCCAATGTAACAGACCAGATTTGATTATGATATGACTGCCACGTGATGCCCAATCTAGCAAAGTTGCTCATTTTCCTAGAGGCATCCTTTTCATACATAGACTATATCTACTCCTTGAAACAGTATAAATGTCAGAGCTATTGTAGGAGGTAACTATTTTAGATAATTCTACACAAACAAATCCTTGAATGCAATGTATGAGAGTGGGTTTAATTAAATAAACATCTGGTTTTCTATAGAGCCTAAGAAAGAGGCAAATGTATTGAAGGTCTCTTACCAGAGGAAATGTTTAACACATTGCTTGGCTTTTTCTGGGAGGAAAAAATATTTTTAGAACTCAAGGATGAAAGCATGACTTAAATTCCCATCCAAGTGTCATAAAACTAAGCTTGTGTTTATGATAAAAAGAGATGTATGGGAAAAACAGAACATCTGCTTCAAGAAAGAAGATTCTTAATACAATTACCTTTTCACTTAATATTCTAGATTGTTAAATATATTGGGCTTAATTCAGAACTTGTATAAGTGGGTTTCTAAACTGGTGGAATGGCTCAGGAATTAAAAACATCTGGCAGTAAAATTTGTGCGAAGGTTGCAACAAGAGAGAGAAGAAAACACGTGCACACGCAAAATGGTTTTTCATGTAAGCAGAACACTGAAAATCCCAGCTTGGTTTCAACCCAGCTTAGTACCAGTTGGATGGGAAATTCTGCCATCTCTTAGGCTTTCCCCCGTCTTACCACCAAAATAGCTGTTTTTATCGAGATTTTTGTATTCATGAGAGTCTGAAGTTACGTCTAGAATGCACATAACTGCCTGCAGTAGTTATATGCCTCAGTGAAAAGCAGGCCATGTCCACACTGCAGTGTGGAGATACATGTGTCAGTGAATGGGCTCTGGCAGCAGGGAAAGGCTCCAGCAGCGGGGAGCTGCCAAAACCTTTTCCAGTAGCTTCCCTGCTGCCAGAGTTTTTCCATGCTCCTGGAGTGTTTCACAGCAGCAGGAAAACAGTGGAACATTACATTGCTAAAAGCAGCCATGTAGCTGGGAGAGGTACTGCTTGGGTGCGAAGGGTACGTACCCTCAGGGTTCAGGCATATCTTTACTCTACTGGCCTAAGCAGTTCCTCACAGTGTACGTCTGTTTGCACCTGTGCCAGGGGGGCACGTAGCGTTTGTACTCTACATGCCACTAAAAGGAGTGTGCAGTGTAGATGTACTCTGATTGTGCTTGAAGTCCTCAGTCCTGCCATATTTTTTACCCCATTAAAAGACTAAATGAAGAGTTAATTCCCTTTTTGTTGAGCAACTGTGTCCGTCACAGGGTCTCTGCTGAGGTCCTGTCCATTGACTTGAATGGAATTGCATCCATTTACATCAGGTGTGAATTTGGCCCAGTATATTTTGGATGAATAACTTTATTTCACAAATATTAAAAACAACAAACACTGATTCTGAACTTATAGTGCTGTATCACAAGTGCTTCATTTAATGCTAGTAAACATTAACTGAAGTACTGTGGTATTG